CCACTCGCGCTTCTACAAAAGCTTATGCCATTTGCAAACCTGTAAAAGACGTTACCAAATGTTTAGATTTTTAGGGTCCGATGGACTCAATAGGGCCACTCCACCCTGGCAAACAAAACAAAATCTTGTTCTACCAGAAGAGGCTGGTAAGATTGAAAACACTGCTTTGGAGCCGACCTCACTGAAGGCAAAAGAGTTTTATTTCTGCATCAATTTGTATTGGATGAGTTTTACAATAGCATAATGATTTGTGGACCAGAACTTTGCCACTAGTTTTACAGGGAAATCAAGATTGTACTGGAAGCACCTTCAGTTCTCTGGCCTGTTTAGCATGGCATCCTCACGGAGCAATTTGTCTTTAAGTCATGGGCTGACTCCCATGGACCAGAGCACGCCAGGCCCTCCTGTCTTCCACTGCCTCCCGGAGTTGGGTCAAATTCATGTTGGTCGCTTCTATGACACTGTCCAACCATCTCGTCCTCTGTCGTCCCCTTCTCCTCTTGCCTTCACACTTTCCCAACATCAGTATCTTTTCCAAGGAGTCTTCTCTTCTCATGAGATGGCCAAAGTATGGAAGCCTCAGCTTCAGGATCTCAGGGCTCAATACTCGACCCATTTGCCTGAGGGTTAAGTCCCAGGGACTGCTGAAGGGTCAAGGGTGGGACCACCGACCTTTCACTGTCACCCCAGGCTACCAAGGGCAAGGGACTGACTCCAGAAAAAGGAAGCCTGGCTTTCTTGCAGGCCTGTGTAAGCGACAGGATTCGCCCTTCTGGGGTCACCATGAATCGGAAGTGGGCTGGGTGGCCCTGAACTGAGGAAACCCCCCAACACCAGCAGCCCCTCAAGCGAATGCACTAGGAAGGGACCCCCCCATCCCTCCACAAGCCGGCCTCCGGCCCCGAAGCTTAGGAACTTTAATCATTAAACTTTGTGATTTTCTGAACGACACCCCCCCTCCAAAAAAAGAGAGCTTGGTGCACCTCGTGGGGAAGAAACGACCTCCCCTCGAGAGCGGGAGCCTTCCTGTTCCTGGCGTGACTTTTAAAATTTAATTTTTCTTTTTCATTCCCCTGCTCCTCCTCTGCCTCCGCGCGAGGAAACCAAGACACGCGCTGCACCTCATGGGCGAAGGAAGCGTCCCCTTCGGCCGGGGAGGGCCACGAGGGCCGGGGCG